TATATATATATATATATACGTGTGCGCTTGTGTATATATATATAAATATGTATATGCACACGTTCAAATTGGAAATGGGTGTGTGAGCGGACACACGCGTGTACGTATATATACATAAGCGAGATCGAGTTACGCGCCGACGGCCTCTCGAAATCGAAAGTGTCTATATGAGCACGATCGTGCATACAAAACGAGGCAGCTATCCAATAAAAAAAAAAAAAAAAAAATATATATATATATGTTTTTTCCTTTTATTATCACTCATCGTTGCTCTCGCGCCGAATTTCCATTGCGCTTTGTACCTTACATTTGTTCGTACACTTTGGTATTTAGTACATCGAGGGCGTGGGAGTGTCGCGCTTGCGAAAGGACGTTATAGGTATACCTGTTGTGTATAGGGTACATAATAGCCAATAATAATACCGATCTTGCCTCGGAACTGACCGGTAACTCGTAGTGCCGTGTATATAACGTATAGTACATGGAAAGCACAGAAAGAGAGGAGAGCCTCCATTGTGCATACACACTTGGCGCCGTTGTTATCGTACTACTGTACCTATATACATAGGTATGTGTATATATATGCAATATCGGAGGGATAGATATCGGCGATGTTATTATATATACTGGTCCCGAGAGAGAGAGAGAGTTAAAGAGAGACGACAGGGAGAACGCCTTTGTTTGTGTACATGTGTTATTATAGGTTGGTGTGTATAATGCATAAATAGAGGTCCCGAGATCAGTGAGCCGAGAAACTAAGTAGGTATCGCCCTTTTTTTTCTCTCTCTCCTCGTTGCTGCCGCTAAACTTTCTTCGCTCGTCAGGCTCTTGCGTCCATCGTTATACATGCAAATTATCGGCTATTTTCCTCCTCCTCTTTTAATTGGACAATAGTGATTCGTTCGAGTTTATTTTTGTACTTTGGTGCAAGCTCAGTTCGTTAGCACGGACGCGACGAGTGCACGGTTTAGCGGATCGGTTTGATTAATCCATCGCGGTGCATTGTTTGTTTATTTATTTATTTATTTATTTTTTTAATCATGTTAAACGCACTCTTCATCCAGAGGTATATGTAAACACAGCTGACGGATCGCCACGGAGAAAAAGAAACAACGGGTCAGTAGAAACAGTCGGTTTCGATCAGACACCCGCCCGAAAAAAGGGGGATTCGGGGACTCTGACGGTCTAAGCGTGCAGCTTTTGCACAAAGCGTGAAAAAAAGGTTGATGGGGAAAAAAAAAGAAAAAAAAAAACAACAACTCACCCTCCCTCCCGCTTTTTTTCAAGTCACACGGGGAGATCGAAATTTCGTTAAAACCCAGGTTGTTTCGAAAAAGGAGAAGGAAAGTAAGAAAACTCGAGGGGGACGAACGAGGCGGGGAAGGAAAGGAGGAAAAGCCCCGCAGATATCGCGCGTATAATGCACACACAAGTCCCTCTCCGCGGAGCGGGCAAGATAGAGAGAGAGAGAGTAGAGGAAAGAAAGGAGGCGGACGGGCGTGCTGCGCTCGTGGGAGAGATAGGAGCAGCAGCTCGACGTAGGAGGCGCGGATCGGCGGGTCGTCCGGCAGTGGGCTCCGCGCGATAGCCCAGAAATGTTGGCCGCCGCCGTTACTCTCAGTCCGAGTCGTGAGGTCCGCTCGAGTGCGCGAGGGGCCCGCCAGCCCACCGATTTTCCAGCCAAGCCGCGCTGATACCTTATACATATATGTATATGCACTTATTACCGGTCGACAGCCTCCCGCGCACGTGAAAATTTCTACCGCGCGCGTTTTCACTTTTTTTTTTTTTTTTTTTTCCCCGCTCGACACGGGAACGCTTCTCGGCTAAGTACTTAGTTTTGCCACGGGTATATACGTGGTTGGCGCGGTGGATTTCTGTTTTTCGTTTTCGTGTTAATTACCTACTCGACATGCCAAAGCCGACGAGCGACACCGAGCTGGTACTTGGATCGCTTTGAGGGCCCCATATATACGCACAACCAGAGGCGCGGGACATGCTCCATTGAGTGTCGCCGGCCAATACCGAGTGCGGGCGTGTGTGAGTGTGAGGTGTCAGAGCGGCATGATGAGGCGGCGAGCCGGCACGGCCATCCTCGCCCTCGTGCTCGTCCAGGTACTAGTTTAAACACATTAAAAGTTATAATGGGGAAAGGGCAACGGCCCGAGCAACAATGGCAAAAGTATGGTGATGGTAACAACAACGGGTGGACACCTCTCCCCTCTTAGGTCTTGGGAGGGTTGGGGATGAATTTTGCCAACATCACTGCCGCCGAAAGGGGCCGGATGATTAACGAGCGGGTCCCATTTGGCGTGTGTTCATTTTGCGTGGGGATCACCGGGGCATCGATTCATCATTGACTTCGAAGCATCTATTGGTTTTCGGAAGGGGCCGTTGTAAATCATTTTTGCTGTTGCGGACTGTACGTAAATTCACGAGGATCCTAGTTTTTAGATGTTTTCGAGACTCGCCAAACCAATTTTTTAAGCTATATAATGACGACGTCAAGGGAATGGTTTTTTTTTTTTTTTTTTTTTTAATTAACCAACTGAAGAAAAATGGCCATGTTTGTTCGTCAAACGGGCTAATTATCTCCAACGATGCCACTGTTACACGATCGTTTCGAAGATTAATCAAAATTGCCCCATTTCAAACAGCACATCGTAGTAATAAACTGCCAAGAGGCTTTGGTTTGAAAAAAAAAAAGAAAAAAAAAAATTTCACGCTCCATCGCGTACCCCGTATGTATCGTGTTATTATTGAACCTTCGGCAAAAACGAAAAAACACAAGTCCCGTGATTGCAATCGGAGCAGTGCTTGTACACCCCTTTGGCCTTGATTGCAAGATCACAAAAATAAATACCCCGAAAAAAAAGAAGGGCAAATGGGGGGATGGGGTGTTAATAAAAACAAAAAACAATCGGGAGGGAAGCACTTACGCCCGACGATCAAACGCGCTCGAAGCGTTGAACATCAATTACGTATATATATATATGTATCCGTCGTTCGAGAAAACGTTGACGTAATTAGCGACACACGAAGAAGAGGCGCGCGGCGAAGCTTTTGTTTTGCCCTCGGAAAATCCGTCCAAACTGGTTTTCCTCGCTCGACGCGCGGAACCGACCACCGAAGCGATAAATTTCAACTCCACGCACAAAGATCCGGCGACATTACTCCCTCTCGCCCCGAGATCGGATCTACCACCACCACCTCCTCCCTTCCCCTGTATGTGGCGCTGATTAATTTGATCGCCCGTACGGTTAATGCAGCTACGACCGGCGACTCCCTTTAATTGGAGCCCCCCCATAATCTCCCAGCGCGAATCTTCCCCCGTACGTATACTTTGCACTACTCGTATTTTACTTATTGACCCCCCTCCTCCCGCAGTTTGCTAACAATGCCCTGTTGCACTCCCTCCCCCCCCCAAGCGCGTACGTTTCGTTTGATTTTGTTTTTGCTCCTCGCGTGACTGGTACACTTTGAAATTTATATCTCATAGGTATAGACAAGTGATGATAATTACAGCAGAGCGAGTAATGCGACGCGGTTATTTGCAACCCTCCTCCGTACACGCGAGCCATCAATTGTGTACATTATACGTACGAGAGGTGTATACTTTGTGTATCGCTTACCCTTGTACCACATGGGCTCCGGCTGGACCATAAAAATCGCAATCGATGATTTTCCCCTTTTCTCGATCGCTACGTTTCGTATAGGTCTACTCGGGCACCTCGGATAATCCCCTCTCGCGATGGAAGAGACAAAAGAACGATGACCAAGCGATAACAAGAATATTAATTTAAATATGCAAAACGCCTCGGAGCTCGGGCGAATCGTAAGCGACGAGACGTCAAATAAATATGCACGACATCTACAACTATACAGCGGCATAATCCTGGTAGGATGTGAAATCTGTCATCGGGATTCACCATAGTCATCTTCCGCGCAACTTTTTATTCGCTCGCTAAGATAAAAAAAAAAAAAAAAAAAAAAAAAAAAAAAAAAACTTTGCTCATGATGATGGCTCTCTATTTGAGAAGCGCACGCGCAAAAAGGGGCCATTTCTATCCATTTTACCGCGTGTACCTGTACAGGTATACACAACACATGCGGGCAGTGGGTATATGTACACCGGGGTAATTGATTTCCTTTGTCCGTCCTGCTGTGCTCCCCATACACCCCCATGGCTTGTATACATTATGCACCGATGCCGTGCTCTCCTATGCCCCCTGCCGGAGCCCGGAATTTTACCGCCGGTCTCGTGCTGGGAGACTTTAACGCCGGCCCTATATACAAAACTACACACACACACACAATACACTCTTGACTAGATCACGTACATGATATATATTTATACATAGGGACAATTAGTTTTTTCGACCATTTTTATCCGCCAAGACGAATTTACGCATCCTGGAGGCTCTCGCTCTTGGCCCTTATTTCCATGCCCATATCGTGATGTTCAATGGCATTTATGTTGTTAAAGCAGCACTCGTGTCTTGTTTTGCCTTCTTCTTTATGTACGTTATACACGCAGGGGTTTATTGCCATTAGCGTCGCTGTTATGATACTTTCAATTTTTCCGAAATTTTTTAATTCTTGATGCAAAAATGAAAAAAAAAAAACAACCCTCACTCGGGTGTAAGGATGCGTTTTATAATGAGCTCGCGCGTATATATTATGTACCCACGTATTGTATACAGACGTGTAATGGGGCAACGACTAGCGTAATGATGATGATAATAACAACAACGACAATAGTAATAAGAGTATTATGATTGTTGGCGTGCACGTAAAAAGAGAGAGAGAGAGTCGGGGGCTTGACATTGACATGGTTTCGATGAGAGAGAGGAGCGAGGCAAAAAGGCTCCGTCTAACGATCTTTCGCGATTCGCACAGCAGCGTATATACTTATATACGCAAGGAGCACAGTGCTCGCGTGTGTTACACTCGTGTGCCTGGAATGGCAAAAAGCGAGAGTGAAAACGAACAAATTACATCCTTATTCGGGTGCCACGCGAGCTTACTACAACTATACTCGGCATTGCAGTCGCTTGGAAATTTTGTTTACCTTTTTTTCTACTTTTTCACAATAAAATATCATATCGAGCATCTTGCCTTCGTAAAAATCGGCCGTTTGTTGCAATCGAGTCGAGAAAAACTTTGCGCCATTTGCAAGAAAACCGCTTGTGGAGAAAAACGTTCTGTACAACCTACGGTTCGCGCTTTGAACTGCAAACAATTCATGTATCGTACTATTTGCTCTTGATAAAAAAAAAGCTCGTGGGTACAAACACAACCACATATATGTATATCAATCTTCAAAACACACAAAGTTAGAAATCGCGTCGATTAACAGTCGGCGCGTACGTTGTATAAAAAAAATCAACGGATCGACATTAAAATCGGCGCACGAAACCAGGAAGAAAAAGGAATTTCGAAATTCCCCCGCGAATGAAACACACCACTCGCGTAACATACTTTATACATATATAAACGCGTGTATGATATCAAATATGCGTACACGAAAAACCGCGAGTGAATATACACGATTTTTCGAAAGTTCGCTCGCACCAGAGTCCCGGCACATGCTGTCCTGTACATACAACACTCGTACAGCGGGAGACAAATAACTCAATGGTCCCGATTCCGGGCGAGATATCTCGTGCACGCTTTGCTCCTTCTAAATTACACCCGCGCGCGCGTGACGCGACAGCCGAATTTCGCGCACAACCGATCCATGTTCCACAGACGGGAAATCGGTGTTTCCTCGCGTGCACCGTTATCCCCTTACAATGTAATGGCACGGACGTGCGCTGAACAATCAATACACGTCAGTCCCGTGGCCATATCCGACGCGATTCTGATGGGCACCGAGAAACTCCGAGGTGGAGGAAAAGAGATCGAATAATTTAGGTTGGCGTGCGAGTGGATCGGCGATCGAGACCGATTAAGTATAACGTGTGCGCACGAAGTTCCCTGCTGCACCACGCGGTGATTTCATCGACACCCGAAATCGCACCGATTCACCTCGAGTTGCACGCGCGATTGCGTTCCCTTTTTTTTTTTTCACATCCTCACACTCGTTTTGCTTTTTCCCACGCCTAATTTACGCTTTGGCGAAAAAACACTCCGAAGGCCCCACACTTTGTAAGTGTACCCACACCGTTTTCCATTCATCGGAAACTCATTTGCGAAAGAAAAACCACGTGATGTACAAATAATTGTATGCACCTTCAGTTTTGCGAAAAAGGGAAGAAAACAGCGATGCACTTTGGAGAAGGAAAATAAAGGGTCGGACCAAAGTCGTAATTGATGTGGCGCGGTAGGTATACATATATGTATAAATATGTACGTCGCGAGGAGGGTATACCCGTACACTCCGAGATAAGCCAGATAGATATACGGAAGGTGGGGGAAGGACGAAAGGTTCCCATTATGGGACGGACGCATAGGGGAGAAACGCACGACGACGGGACGGGGTGGGTATATGCATAAATTGAAAAAGATATAAAAAAAAAAAAAAAAAAAAGAGAAAAGGTACATACATACACGTATATAAACGAGTATTTGCACGCGCTCAATGGATGTATAGAGGACCCGTATGGCAGTTGCGGTGGCCCGCCTACGCGGGCCTTTTACACGTATTATGCGCGCGGTGAACGTGTGCGCGCGAGCTGTAAGCAGTGCTTGGGCGCCATCAGGCTCTGACCGTAATAGGAAATGCGTGAGCGGACTCCAAAGTACACGAACGCCGGAGAAAGAGCTTCGCATATACCTTTTTTTTTTTTTTTTTTCATCTTTTCGATAGATCTTGGGTGTATTTTGTACACACAACGTGTAATTGCTTTGCAGGCATACATATTAAATATACGTGGTTCGGGACAAAGTCATCTCGATGCGACGAAACCTTAATTGTATCGAAAATTTCTAGTTTCGCCTTGTCGCGTACATAAAAAAACCCCTCCCCCATCAAGTTTAAGCAATAACTAATTTACATTTTTTAACAGCACTTTTTTTTCCATCCACCAAACATATAATATGATGTACGTATTCTGGGCACGATTTCTCGATAAAACTATAAATAAGTCCCGTGTTCTCGATTCCCCGCTCGA